TGAATTGTAGCTATGCGTTTCGCCTTGCATCATTCCCTTCTGCCGCGTATTGGGGTATCGGGATTTGTATGGGCAGCATTGTAGTTCTGGCCTGGCCTGGACCCAGCCAAACCAATGGATGGTTTGCCCTTGGAACGCGTTGGTGGTGGTCTGTGCGACCATGCGATTGACTGTGAGACGATGCGAGAGCAACGAAAGTGTGCGAGCAGCGAAATTTGTTCGAGTGGGCCAAAAACTTGCAATAATGCAGGTGTGCGTGCTGTGATAGGCTCCGCTACTGCTGACTTCATACCCAGATCAGTCGCCGCATTCTTCGCCAAAGTGACGCATCAATAAGTGACGCAGGCGCTCTTCAGCGGCGCCCCTGGGAGCGTCCCGGACTTCGTCTCTAAATCACCGCTCGCTAGAGCAGCCATGGAATCATCTCTTCCGCCTCCGTTTCTGTGCCATATCCTGCTGCATTTTAAACCGGTAGTAGCGCCAGCAGCTGTACCAAGAACCGCTTTTACCTACCACTACTAGTAGCCTCGAGTTGTACCAAGAACCTCATCAGTTCAAAATCACCTCGGCGTTGCGCTATTCAGTGCACATCCGTCACGCGTGCCACCCCAGAGCGGTCGATTGCCGACGGAGGCTCAAGTCACTCGGTTGTGCGTGCTCAGGTCAAGCAGCTGACGTGGCAGCTCGACCGCAATGGCCACCTTTCCTTCCGCGCTGCTTCCGCTCCTCATCCTTTCCGTCATCATTGGAGGCGAGTCGTTGGGTTTATTGGAGGCGAGCCGTTTCTGTCCTCTCTACATTGAAGTTATATTTGAGGCGCCTGAAATATACCGTCGTCATTGGAGGCGAGTCATTTCTCTCCTCTGCTTCTCTTGGGGTTTCTGGGTTGAGAAGCGCGCACGCTTGTTTCCCTCTCACCCCTCTGCTCCCTCTCACCCCTCTGCTCCCTCTCACCCCTCTGCTCCTTCTGCCTCCAGTGGCCGCAATGGCTCACGTGGCGGCAGGCGAAGGCACGGATCGCCTGAACGGCCATGTGCAAGTGAGCAGCGCGCGCAACAATGTGGCTTTTGAGGCGCCTCAAAAGGCAGGCGAAGGCACGAATCCCCGGAACGCCCATGTGCAAGTGAGCAGCGCGGGCTCCACTGTGGCGGCGAGGAGGAGCATCAAAAGCGATGGCACGACAGCAGGAAGCAAGAACTTGAGCATGGGAGTGGGGTTGGGTGTGGGGTTGGGGGTGAGGGTGGCGGGCAGTGGCGGCACAGGCGGAGCAGTGGGCGCGAGCGTGCAGGTGGCGACGCAGATCACGGTGCCAGGCGTCAGCCTGCCCGTCAGCTTCGACGCCCTCCGCTGCTTCACCCTTCCCCGCGCAGCGGCTAAGGCGGCGCGGGACGTGCAGGTGTGGTGGCATGGGCTGGCGGGTAACAGCAAGGGCGGCAGCAAGGGTGCGGCGTGCAAGCAGCTGCGGTTCTTTGCCAACCCCGCCTGCAAGGGCAAGGCGCTGGATGAGGTGCTCAAGCCGCAATACGCCGGCCTGCGCAAATTCTTCCACGTGCCCAGGTGGGTGTTGGGGCAGCCTGGCAGGTGGGTGGGTCATGGGGGTTAGGTGGCTTCTATTGGGTTGTGCCTCTGTAAAGTGTTTCTAACGTCTGATCTTGTTCTAAACTTTTAATTTGAACGTGCTTTTGACGTTTGCAGCAAGAAGAAGGTCGCCCGATGGACTTCTGTTGCTTGCCAGCCTGGTGCGTGCCTTGCCTCCATGCCTCCATGCCACCTTGCCATCATGCCACCTTGCCTCCATGCCTCCATGCCACCTTGCCATCATGCCACCTTGCCTCCATGCCTCCATGCCACCTTGCCATCATGCCACCTTGCCATCATGCCACCTTGCCTCCATGCCTCCTTGCCACCTTGCCATCATGCCACCTTGCCTCCATGCCTCCATGCCACCTTGCCATCATGCCACCTTGCCTCCATACCTCCATGCCACCTTGCCATCATGCCACCTTGCCTCCATGCCTCCATGCCACCTTGCCATCATGCCACCTTGCCTCCATGCCTCCATGCCACCTTGCCATCATGCCACCTTGCCTCCATGCCTCCATGCCACCTTGCCATCATGCCACCTTGCCTCCATGCCTCCATGCCACCTTGCCATCATGCCACCTTGCCTCCATGCCTCCTTGCCACCTTGCCATCATGCCACCTTGCCTCCATGCCTCCATGCCACCTTGCCATCATGCCACCTTGCCTCCATACCTCCATGCCACCTTGCCATCATGCCACCTTGCCTCCATGCCTCCATGCCACCTTGCCATCATGCCACCTTGCCTCCATGCCTCCTTGCCACCTTGCCATCATGCCACCTTGCCTCCATGCCTCCTTGCCACCTTGCCATCATGCCACCTTGCCTCCATGCCTCCATGCCACCTTGCCATCATACCACCTTGCCTCCATGCCTCCATGCCACCTTGCCATCATGCCACCTTGCCTCCATGCCTCCTTGCCACCTTGCCATCATGCCACCTTGCCTCCATGCCTCCATGCCACCTTGCCATCATGCCACCTTGCCTCCATGCCTCCATGCCACCTTGCCATCATGCCACCTTGCCTCCATGCCTCCATGCCACCTTGCCATCATGTCACCTTGCCTCCATGCCTCCTTGCCACCTTGCCATCATGCCACCTTGCCTCCATGCCTCCTTGCCACCTTGCCATCATGCCACCTTGCCTCCATGCCTCCTTGCCACCTTGCCATCATGCCACCTTGCCTCCATGCCTCCTTGCCACCTTGCCATCATGCCTCCATGCCTCCATGCCTCCATGCCTCCATGCCTCCATGCCTCCATGCCACCTTTCCATCATGCCTCCATGCCTCCTTGCCACCGTGCCCCCTTGCCTCCCTTCCTCCATGCCACCTTGCCATCACGCCACCTTGCCTCCTTTCCTGCATGCTACCTTGCCACATGCTGCACACATCTCTTGCACCTCCTCTATGAAAACGGGCTTCTTGCATTCCTGCATCACACCATGTGGTGTCACCGGCTGTGCCGCACGCATCTCTGCTGTTCCCCATGCACGCCAGACATCACTTGCGAGCATGCCAAGTGTCCGAGCAATTCCATGTGCAAGCCAGCGAATGACAGCCAGGGTGTCATTTGTGAATGCAACAAAGGCTTTGTTCCCGTCACTGGCACTTGCGAAGGTACGGTGCTTGTGCTACCTCCTCTCTTGTGCTCTCTCTAGCGCTTTTTGCCTCCCTTTCACCTGCAGTTTGCCCATTTTTGTTCTTGAGGATGATTTCCAACCATTGATTTTTTTGGGGCTTCTTTTGAATTGGAAGAATGGCATCGTTAAGAAACGGGTGCTGGATAGCAAGTTATAAACTTACTGGCATAACTTTATGACCATCCTCAATCCAATACACCCTTTTCTTGTGTCACACTTGCATCACAGGAACAGGATGCGCCCTGTTCCTGTAACGAGGGTTTTGAAATGATTGCCAATGGCACTTGTGCGGGTGAGGTGTGTTGCTTTGAAAGCTAAGAGAATGCTCGGACTTTCTTTTGAGTCGACTCAAAAGTCAACTAGGTGTGGTTGCTTTGAAAGCTAAGAGAATGCTCGGACTTTCTTTTGAGTCGACTCAAAAGTCAACTAGGGTGTTGCTTTGAAAGCTAAGAGAATGCTCGGACTTTCTTTTGAGTCGACTCAAAAGTCAACTAGGTGTGTTGCTTTGAAAGCTAAGAGAATGCTCGGACTTTCTTTTGAGTCGACTCAAAAGTCAACTAGGTGTGTTGCTTTGAAAGCTAAGAGAATGCTCGGACTTTCTTTTGAGTCGACTCAAAAGTCAACTAGGTGTGTTGCTTTGAAAGCTAAGAGAATGCTCGGACTTTCTTTTGAGTCGACTCAAAAGTCAACTAGGTGTGTTGCTTTGAAAGCTAAGAGAATGCTCGGACTTTCTTTTGAGTCGACTCAAAAGTCAACTAGGTGTGTTGCTTTGAAAGCTAAGAGAATGCTCAGACTTTCTTTTGAGTCGACTCAAAAGTCAACTAGGTGTGTTGCTTTGAAAGCTAAGAGAATGCTCGGACTTTCTTTTGAGTCGACTCAAAAGTCAACTAGGTGTGTTCCGTGGGACTTTCTTTTCCTTGCAGATGTGTGTGCTTCATTCAAATGTGGACCTGGCGGCAACTGCACGAGGGATGCAAACGGAAATCCATCGTGTAGTTGCAGCGCTGGCTTCACGCCGTCTTCTGACAAGCTTTCTTGCATTGGTGAGTTGGTTGGAGGGGTGCAACACAGAGGGCGTGCCTTGCGTTTTGGACCCAGTCCTTGAAACTTGACCTTCCTTCAACTCAAGTTTTGGCTAGAGTTGCTGAAAGTGTGTGCGTGTTCAACAAAGTGACCCTTGATTGTCAAAAGATTGGAGCACTATATGTTGTTACAATATCTTTTCTCTTGCCTGGATTTCTTTGCTGCAGACCAAGGTGCAAAAAAACGACGTTTTTTTCAATTTTTGATTGTAAAATACCGTATCGTAATAAACGATCGTAAAAAAAGATTAAAAAAAACGGTTTTTGAAAATAAATACTTTTGGTGCAAAAAAACCTTCTTTTTTTTCAGTAAAAAGACCAAAAACTGCTGCTGAAACAAGGGGATTGATTGGTGAGAAGAACAAGGGGGCCATTAGAAGTGCTGATGATGCAGCGGAAGATTGTTAGAAGTGCTTTTGTGATCAGAACAGCATCTTTGAAGTTGAAGAGTTTTTTTTGTCTAACAAAAAAACGACGTTTTTTTCCCAAAAGGTACCGTAAAATACCATCGAAAAAACAATCGTATTTTTCGACAATCGTTTTTTTCTACCTTGCTGCAGACAACTGTGATGCGGTGAAGTGTGGACCTGGCGGCAACTGCACGAGGGATGCAAACGGAAATCCATCGTGTAGTTGCAGCGCTGGCTTCACGCCGTCTTCTGACAAGCTTTCTTGCATTGGTGAGTAGGAGGGGTGCAACACAGAGGGCGTGCCTTGCGTTTTGGACCCAGTCCTTGAAACTTGACCTTCCTTCAACTCAAGTTTTGGCTAGAGTTGCTGAAAGTGTGTGCGTGTTCAATAAAGTGACCCTTGATTGTCAAAAGATCGGAGCACTATATGTCGTTACAATAACTTTTCTCTTGCCTGGATTTCTTTGCTGCAGACAACTGTGATGCGGTGAAGTGTGGGCCTGGAGGCAACTGCACGAGGGATGCAAACGGAAATCCATCATGTAGTTGCAGCGCTGGCTTCACGCCGTCTTCTGACAATCTCTCTTGCATTGGTGAGTTGGAGGGGTGCAACACAGAGGGCGTTTCTTACGTTTCAAAACCAATTCTTGAACGTTGTCTTTCCTTCAACTCAAGGTGTGTTTTGAGTCGACTCAAAACACACCAATTCTTGAACGTTGTCTTTCCTTCAACTCAAGGTGTGTTTTGAGTCGACTCAAAACACACCAATTCTTGAACGTTGTCTTTCCTTCAACTCAAGGTGTGTTTTGAGTCGACTCAAAACACACCAATTCTTGAACGTTGTCTTTCCTTCAACTCAAGGTGTGTTTTGAGTCGACTCAAAACACACCAATTCTTGAACGTTGTCTTTCCTTCAACTCAAGGTGTGTTTTGAGTCGACTCAAAACACACCAATTCTTGAACGTTGTCTTTCCTTCAACTCAAAATTTTGGTTGAGTTATTGGAGTTGGCGCGTATTCTCAACGACCCTTGCTTCTCAAGATCCGAGCATTATTTTTATTTTTTTTGTACTGTCCTTCCTCTCGCCTTGGCTCTCTTTTCTGCAGACAACTGTGATGCGGTGAAGTGCGGGCCGGGCGGCAACTGCACAAGAAATGCGAGCGGAAATCCATCCTGTTCATGCAGCGCTGGCTTCACGCCGTCTTCTGACAAGCTCTCTTGCGTTGGTGAGTCGGAGGAGTGCAATTTAGAGGGCATGCCTTGCGTTTCAGACCCAATTCTTAAACTCGAACGGTCCGTTGTATTGATTCAGCAGGGGTACAGACATGCAGTGTTGTATATGATAGCTTCAATCCCTCTAGCCCTTGAACCCACCTTCCTTAAACTCGGTCTCCTCTCACCTTCCTTAAACTCGGTCTCCTCTCACCTTCCTTAAACTCGGTCTCCTCTCACCTGAAACTTGTTGCAAGAGTTGATGAATCGCGTTTGTGACACTTGATTTTCAAGATCCCGGCATAATTGTTTTTTTTTTTTTTTTTTTTTATGATGATGATGATCCTTTGACTTGCCTTGCTCTCTTTTTCGCAGACAATTGTGCCGCAGTGGATTGTGGGCCCAATGGCAAGTGCGCGAAGAAGGATAACGGGGACGCAACCTGCGAGTGCGACTCGGGCTTTGGGATGCCTTCCGACCAACTGCGTTGCGTCGGTGAGTTGCTGTGGTCTCGTCTGCAGGATGGATATGCCATTGCAACGAGGTGATGCAGGATGAATATAGCTGCTGCAACTCCATTGTTAAGCATGCATACTCCACCTGTATTTCTCTTTCCCTTTCGATCACCCCGACCACCCCCCTCCTCCCCACCACCTCACCCGTTCCCCCTCGCACCCCACCCCCCTCCCTTTTTTTGTTAACTTTTTTTTTTTTTCCCTCCTCCTTTTACCCTTTTCCCCTCTCTTTGACCCTTGACCCCATCCTTCTTTGCACTCACATCAGGCACAGCTTGCTCTGAGTTGGGCTGCGAACCGGATGGGGATTGTGTGAACACCGATGGAGTTCACTCTTGCAAGTGGAGTAAGCATGGCTTTCAGCTTTCTCTACACCCAACCCAGCCCATCCGCACCGCACTCATTCTCTACCATCTCCACCATCTCTTTCATTTGGTGCAGTCTACTCCAAATTTGAGTGAAGCTGGCGCATTTGCCAAGCTCATTTTGCCGTCTCTCTGCCGCACCTTGTGTCTGCCTTGCGTGCTGCTGTGTTCCCCAGAGTCACCCTGTGGCACGTGTCCCACTGGCGCCACCTGCAAAACCGTCCATACAACCAATGCAGAATCGGCTGATGTGCCATACTGCGAGTGCCCTGAGGGCTTTGGGATGACCCCAACAGAATGCATCCCGGGTAAGATTCAATACCACCCTGATTTACTCTCCATTGATAGCATCTCACCCCAAGCTGAGAGCATCTCACCCGAAAGTTCTTCAACTTGGAGTGTATCAATAGCCCCAACATGCAGCAGTCAACTTGGACGCCATGTCAGATTTTGCCTTCACCATCCTTTTCCATCCCGGTTCATAACATCACGTTTCCCCGCGTCCTTGCTCCCTGTTTTCCCCTTCTTCTTGTGCCATCCTTTCTCAGATTCACCCAACGAAGTGCTTGCCAGCAGTGTGACATTCATCCAGGATCGTAGTGCCAGAGGCAAGGCGTCCAAGCCCTACACCCTCCGTCTCAAATATGGCTGCACTCAGTTGCGGAGGGGGTGGCTGGGAATTTCACGACGGCATATGAGCTGTTGTACATCGGTGGTGGTCCGAGTTTGCGAACGGTTCAGATGGTATGACACGGATAACTGCGTCTCGAGCAGTGTATTGGAGCGTGCAAATTTTCTTCGGACCCCAAATGCTGCATTCGCAAATACGTGAGTGGTGATTTGTACCAAAGTCAGTCAGCAGTCTGCATTTTGGTCATCAAGTATGTCAATCAATAGCACTTTACATTTCATTGTACCATTAAAAAAATGCATTATATATTTCATCATACTATGATCTCAATGGTGCGCTTTACTATGCACTGCGCTTTACTATGCACTGCCACTTTACTATGCATTGCACTGTACTAAGCATTGCATTGTACTATGCATTGCACTTTACTGTGCAGTGCACTGTGCTATGCATTGCACTTTACTGTGCAGTGCACTGTACTGTGCAGTGCACTGTACTATGCATTGCACTTTACTATGCATTGCACTTTACTATGCATTGCACTTTACTGTGCATTGCACTGTACTGTGCAGGGCACTGTACTATGCATTGCACTTTTACTATGCATTGCACTGTACTATGCATTGCACTTTACTATGCATGCACTGTACTATGCATTGCACTGTTACTATGCATTGCCACTGTACCATGTGTTGCACTTTAGAACCTTTACCCAAAACCGTCTATCCTCAGTAATTGTTTCTTTTCTTGTACTGGTATGCGCTTTTCTTTTTCTTTCTTGCATTATCACCAGGTTCCGAAATCCTTAAACTTCCGCTCTTTTTGGTGCGGTGATGCCTAGTGTTCTCTCCTGCCCGCGTCTGATCCACTCAACCATGGAAATCAAGTGCCCGACAGCTTGGCATGTTACTCATTTAGTCCCGGAGAAACGACTTTCTCCTCCTGCTCTAGTCCCTAGAAGAGTTTTCTTCCTGTCACAGTCCTCAGAAATGAGGTTTTTCTCCCGCTTTTGTCCCCAGATAGCAGACCCTGCAGTGTTGTTTGTACACCTGAGGGCATGTAATCCAAGATGTGTTTGTACTAATTAGTACCTACTTCATTAACGATACTGCACCCTACTTTACTATTTAATACACTATCTTGCAGAACACCCATCACTGTTGTTTTTGCCTGCAGACAGGCTGCAGACAAGCATCATACACATGAAACGCGGCAAGAACCTGCCCGCAGCAAATGGGACAAAGCGACTGCTCCTCCTCTCTCACAACCCGCGAACACGACAGGCAACACGTGCGGTGGCCACACGGGATGAATGCCGCCTTGCGCTTGCGATGCAGACACACCACACAGACAGAGCTCCCCGCTCTGCACCACTTCTCTCATCACCATTCTTCCTAACACAACACTCGTTACCGGTAATTGAATTGACACAGCACTACCTATGTTATTTCAAGCATCGTACACACGAAAAGCAGCCAGAACCTGCCCGCGACAAATGGGACACAGCGATTGCTCCACCCTCACAACCCTCGAACATGACAGACAACACACGCGGTGGCCACACGGAATAAACACTGCCTTGCGCTTGCGATGCAGACACACCACACAGAGCTCCCCGCTCTGCACCTCCTCCCCCACCACCTCCTCCTCATCCGCATCCCCACCTCGAATCAGATTCTCCAAAACTCCTCTCAAATTCCGAAGGCAAGCTGCTATTACACCGCCTCTCAGCATTCTCCCATCTACTCCCTTCTGCCTCTTGCCCCTGTTCTTACTCCTGCCCCCTGTTCCTGCTGCCCCTGTTCCTGCTGCTCCTGTTTCCTGCTGCTCCTGCTCTTCCTCCTGCTCCCATTCCTCCTTGTTCCTGCTGTCTGCTGCTGTCCTCTCGAGGAGAATCCCCATCCATCGTTCCAGCTCTGCCTGCTCCAACTGCTGCCGCCGCTGCCGCCTGGCTTGCCGGCGCCGGTACGTCCTGATGGGGAATAAGGGGGAGGAGAGGAGGAGGTGATGCGGTCTGCTGCTGCCTCTCGAGGAGAATCGCCATCCACCTTTCCAGCTCTGCCTGCTCCAACTGCTGCCGCCACTGCCGCCTGGCTTGCCTGGCGCCGGTACGTCCTGATGGGGAATAAGGGGGAGGAGAGGAGGAGGTGATGCGGTCTGCTGCTGCCTCTCGAGGAGAATCGCCATCCACCTTTCCACCTCTGCCTGCTCCAACTGCTGCCGCCACTGCCGCCTGGCTTGCCGGCGCCGGTACGTCCTGATGGGAATAAGGGGGAGGAGAGGAGGAGGTGATGCGGTCTGCTGCTGCCTCTCGAGGAGAATCGCCATCCACCTTTCCAGCTCTGCCTGCTCCACCTGCTGCCGCCGCTGCCGCCTGACTTGCCGGCGGCGATACGTCCTGATAGTGTATGAGGAGAGGAGATGGAGAGGGGGGGAAGTGAGGAAGGGGTGGGAGCAGAGCAGCAGTGCCAGAAGAGAGCATCGTTTCCAGCTCTGCCTGCTCCATCTGCTGCCGCCGCTGCCGCCTGGCCTGCGGGCAACGGTACGTCCTGACCAGGAGGAAGAGCATGACGGTAGAGCATGACCAGGAGGATAGGGGGAAGAGAGGGGGTGGAACAGAGGAGGATGAGGGGAGGAAATGAGAAAGAAGTGAGGGTAGTGATGGTGAGGAGCTCTGCCTGCTCCATCTGCTTTTTGAGCTCCTCATCTCAAAAGCCATGTGAGGAGCTCTGCCTGCTCCATCTGCTTTTTGAGCTCTCATCTCAAAAGCCATGTGAGGAGCTCTGCCTGCTCCATCTGCTTTTTGAGCTCCTCATCTCAAAAGCCATGTGAGGAGCTCTGCCTGCTCCATCTGCTGCCGCCGGCTGCCTCGATGCCGCCGCTGCCTCCGATGCCGCCGCTGCCTCCGATGCCGCCGCTGCCTCCGATGCCGCCTGGCCTGCCAGGGACAGTAGACCAGGGGGCATGAGGCGGAGACGACATGCACCAAGAGGAGAGGGAGTGGGTGAAAAGAGGATAAACGGATGAGATGAGATGAGTGGATACGAGAGGGAGGCAAGGGAGAAAGGGTTAAGTGCATTATGAACAGGAAGTGGTAGCGATGAGGGGATGGGAGACAGAAGAGGAAGGGAAGGCTTGTGACCGCACGAATCAGGATGGCAGTGGAAAGAGCAGACAGTCCAACACAACACACCAGTGGTAGAAAAAGGAAAAACCTTTCTCACGGTTCCCTTTCAACACAACCTGGTTTTTTAGAATTCTCAAGAACCTTTCTCAGGGCTCCCTTTCAACACAACCTGGTTTATTAAAGAATTCTCAAGAACCTTTCTCAGGGCTCCCTTTCAACACAAACTTTTGAGTCGTCTCAAAAGCTCTCTTGCAACTTTCGGAACTTCCACACAGCAGAGCCGATAACGCCTGCAGCGGCGGCAGAGAGCAGCAACCCTTGCACCCACGCACACCCACATGCACACTTCAACACCCACCTACACCCACGCCCACACCCACAACCACACCCACACCCACATGCACGAACTTCCACACAGCAAGGCCGATAACGCCTGCCAGCGGAGGCAGAGAGCAGCACACAGAAACCCTTGCACCCACGCACACACACACAGCCACACACACACACCCACACACACGCGCGCGCGCACACACCCACACACACCACACCACACACACACACACACACACACACACACACACGTACTTCCACACAGCAAGGCCGATGACGCCTGCAGCGGCAGCAGACAGCAGCACTCCCCATCCAAGCAGCGACCCCCACCGCTGGTTGAGCTTCTGCATCATGCCCGCCTTGGACTCTGGGAAGCTGGAAAAAGATGGGAGAAAGGGGTAATATAAGAGATTGGCCGTTAACATGCACCCCAGCCCTCCCCACCCCAGCAGTGCTCCCCACCGCTGCTTCGGCTTCTGAATCATGCCCGCCTTGGTCTCTGGAAAGCTGCGAAGAGATGGGGGTAAGGGGCATGTGAAGGGGTGGTGAATAGGGTCACCTCGGCTACCATAACAGAAAGGGATCTGGAGGATAGAGGAAGAAGACAGTAGAAATGGATGCACCCAATGATGAGAGAGTGACCCTACGTCAAGGAAAGCACTCACAGGAAGAAGGAGTTGACTTTTGAGTCGACTCAAAAGTCAACTCTCTACGTCAAGGAAAGCACTCACAGGAAGGAGTTGACTTTTGAGTCGACTCAAAAGTCAACTCTCTACATCAAGGAAAGCACTCACAGGAAGGAGTTGACTTTTGAGTCGACTCAAAAGTCAACTCTCTACGTCAAGGAAAGCACTCACAGGAAGAAGGAGTGACTTTTGAGTCGACTCAAAAGTCAACTCTCTACGTCAAGGAAAGCCACTCACAGGAAGGAGTTGACTTTTGAGTCGACTCAAAAGTCAACTCTCTACGTCAAGGAAAGCACTCACAGGAAGAAGGAGTTGACTTTTGAGTCGACTCAAAAGTCAACTCTCTACGTCAAGGAAAGCACTCACAGGAAGAAGGAGTTGACTTTTGAGTCGACTCAAAAGTCAACTCTCTACGTCAAGGAAAGCACTCACAGGAAGAAGGAGTTGACTTTTGAGTCGACTCAAAGTCAACTCTCTACATCAAGGAAAGCACTCACAGGAAGGAGTTGACTTTTGCGTCGACTCAAAAGTCAACTCTCTACGTCAAGGAAAGCACTCACAGGAAGAAGGAGTTGACTTTTGAGTCGACTCAAAAGTCAACTCTCTACGTCAAGGAAAGCACTCACAGGAAGAAGGAGTTGACTTTTGAGTCGACTCAAAAGTCAACTCTCTACGTCAAGGAAAGCACTCACAGGAAGAAGGAGTGACTTTTGAGTCGACTCAAAAGTCAACTCTCTACGTCAAGGAAAGCACTCACAGGAAGAAGGAGTTGACTTTTGAGTCGACTCAAAAGTCAACTCTCTACGTCAAGGAAAGCACTCACAGGAAGAAGGAGTTGACTTTTGAGTCGACTCAAAAGTCAACTCTCTACGTCAAGGAAAGCACTCACAGGAAGAAGGAGTTGACTTTTGCGTCGACTCAAAAGTCAACTCTCTACGTCAAGGAAAGCACTCACAGGAAGGAGTTGACTTTTGAGTCGACTCAAAAGTCAACTCTCTACGTCAAGGAAAGCACTCACAGGAAGAAGGAGTTGACTTTTGAGTCGACTCAAAAGTCAACTCTCTACGTCAAGGAAAGCACTCACAGGAAGAAGGAGTTGACTTTTGAGTCGACTCAAAAGTCAACTCTCTACGTCAAGGAAAGCACTCACAGGAAGGAGTTGACTTTTGAGTCGACTCAAAGTCAACTCTCTACGTCAAGGAAAGCACTCACAGGAAGGAGTTGACTTTTGAGTCGACTCAAAAGTCAACTCTCTACGTCAAGGAAAGCACTCACAGGAAGAAGGGGAACTTGGGCGAAGCGAAGATGGCAGGCCGACCGTCGGATCCTCGCCTCACATGGCCGACAGCTGTCAGCTCGTGATTGATTGGCAGCACCCTCTCGTCCGTCCGCAGGCCCACCTGGGGAAGGTACATATGGGGGAGTGGTATTACTTATTCACCAACTCATTCATTCATACACAAAATGACATATGAGACAGGCAGCACCCTCTCGTCCGTGCGCAGGCCCACCTGGGGAAGGTGTATGTGCGGAGTGGTACTCATTCATCAACTCATTTATTTGATTCATGCACGCAATGACAACATGAGGCTGACAGCACCCTCTCTTCCGTGCGCATGCACACCTGGGGAAGGCATTTGTGCGGAGTGGGATTCATTCATTCATTCATAATCACAATGGGAAGATGGCGTACAAGCACATGCATGCCAGGATCTCCTCTGAGCATTTTGCAGAGAAAAAAACCCCAACATAAGTACATTAAGCACACGCGCAGCTCTTATATAAAAGTATACTCACCGGAAGGAACTTCCCTATAAGCATATGCAAGGATTTAGCATGGAGAGCAAACAGAAGGCGACTAGAAGTTCCTATAAGCATATGCATGGTTGATAAAGAGTACGTGCAGCCCTCATGGGGCGCCTCCCGGCACTCACTCACCGGCAGGCGCTTCCCTATAAGCACGTGCAGGGCGGTGGCGCCCCATGACGGGTCGGCCTTGTTGCATGTGACTGTAGACGGTGTGCAGTGGCAGTGGCTGTGTGGCGCCCACCAATGAGATGTCGCACGTGGCGCTGACAGGTGTGAGGTATCTGCTAGAGAGAAAGGGACCTGCGGGGAAGTGGTGAGAGGGAGAGAGAGAGAGAGAGAGAGAGAGGAGAGAGAGAGAGAGAGAGAGAGAGAGAGAGAGAGAGAGAGAGAGATGAAGGGAGAACAAAGCAGATAATGCAAGAAGTGGTGATGGGGGGGAAAAGAAACAGGGGACGGTTGAAGCGGGGGGGGGGGGAGGAGAGGAGAAATCGGGGAAGATGGATAGAAGAGGAGAGATGAGGCGAGGACAATATCAGAGGTATCAGCTGGAGCAGGCAAGGGAGAGGGCAGGAGAGTGAGGCGTTGGGGGGGACAGGGAAGGTGGGGAGAAGGATAGCCGACTGCGAGGGGGAAGGTAAGGCGAGGGGGATGATAGGTAAGGCGAGGGGGATGATAGTAAGGCCGAGGGGGATGATAGGTAAGGCGAGGGGGATGATAGGTAAGGCGAGGGGGATGATAGGTAAGGCGAGGGGGATGATAGGTAAGGCGAGGGGATGATAGGTAAGGCGAGGGGATGATATAGGTAAGGCGAGGGGATGATAGGTAAGGCGAGGGGATGCTAGGTAAGGCGAGGGGGATGATAGCCAAGGCGAGGGGGATGATAGGTAAGGCGAGGGGGATGATAGGTAAGGCGAGGGGTGATGTAGGTAAGCGAGGGGGATGATAGGTAAGGCGAGGATGAGGGATGATAGTAAGGCGAGGGGGATGATGGTAAGGCGAGGGGATGATAGGTAAGGCGAGGGGGATGATAGGTAAGGCGAGGGGGATGATAGGTAAAGGCGAGGGGGATGATAGCCAAGGCGAGGGGATGATAGGTTAAGGCGAAGGGGGATGATAGGTAAGGCGAGGGGGATGAATAGGTCTTAAGGCGAGGGGATGATAGGTAAGGCGAGGGGTATGATAGGTAAGGCGAGGGGATGATAGGTAAGGCGAGGGGGATGATAGGTAAGGCGAGGGGGATGATAGGCAACGCAGCGGGGTGGGCAGAGGAAGGGAATCAAGAAAAAGGCTTGAAATGGTAAGGCTTGTCATTATGGAAGGACAGGAGGGATGAAACAAAGCCATTGTGGTAGAGAAAATGGTAGTTCGGTGTCGGTGACGATCGAGGGGAATGTGAGGAACGGAAAGGCAGGGGACGGAGTGGACGCGAAGGGCAGGGTAAAGGCAGGAACGGAAGAGAGCTCACAGATTGTCTGACAAGGTTAACCTGTTCTCGACTTAACGACCCAGCCCAGCAGGCGGGTGCAGCTCCGAGTATAGCATCTGAAGCAAGGCAAGGCAGGGCAACAGCACGGGACTTGAAGAGGATGTCAGGTTTGTTTAGAAACGGATGAGGAGGAGGAGCCAGGACTTGACCATGACAAGCCCCAGCAGCGGGTGCAGCTCCAAGTATAGCATCTGAAGCAAGGCAAGGCAAGGCAAGGCAGGACGCCAACAGAGTCCCGGGCGGAAGATTTTAACGAGGTGAATGTGGAGAGCCAAACCCTGACCTTGTTTTTTGAGACGTCTCAAACTCAAAAGTTCCGAGACGTCTCAAACTCAAAAGTTCCGAGACGTCTCAAACTCAAAAGTTCCGAGACGTCTCAAAAGGTGAATGTGGAGAGCCAAACCCTGACCTTGACAAGCCCCTTCCTCTTCCCCCCTTCCCACCCACCCACCCCACCCACCAGAGGACACTCATCCGCATCCTGACACCTCCCACCCGCCCACTCACCACATCTGACCGCTCCACCACAGCGCATGGCTGCTTGGCGCCATGCACTGGAAGCAGCGGAGAGCAGCCTGGCCCAGCTCCAGCAGCTGGAGGAGAGCCCAACTCTATCCCTGACCCCTGCCCTCCCCCCACCGCCCCAGACCCTTTCCCCGCCCCTAACTTGGGGAGCGAGAAGGAGAGCGGAGAGGAAGAGGAGGTGGAGGAGGAGGAGGGGGGAGAAGGCGAGGAGGAGAGCTGCACGGATCCCCTGACGAGCACCAGCTCGTGGGGGTTGGTGTAATCCGCTAGCTCACTCGCATCTGACGGGCCCCGGCCCAGCTCACGTTGCCCCCATGCTGCTGCTGACTGGCTTGACGACCCTTCGTCGCTCTTGCTTCTTCCCACGGGTAACAGCCATTTCAACCCGCCACTGCTGCTGCTGCTGCTGCTGCTGGTGCCACCACCAGTGGTGCCACCAACGCTGCTGTCGCTGCGGACGCTGAGAATGCTGCTATCATCCTTCCCTGGCCTGCTCTCTCCGCCTCCATTTCCCCGCCATAGGCGCGTGAAGTACCCACTACTTTCACCGCTGCCATTACTCCTCTTATCCCCGCTACTGCTGCTACCTCCCGCACCGTCAAATCCCCCCCCGCCTGTCCCGCTGGCCTGCTCCGGCGCGCGCCTGAACCACCGCCGCCACCCGCCGCTTCCGCCAGCCTTTCCCCCGGCCGCGCGGGGAAACTCCGAAGCTCCGCCTCCGCCGCCCGCCGGCGGAATCCCGTTGAGTTCCGCGATGGTCGTTTCGCGCGCGGATTTGAGCGCCTTGAGCGAGCGCGACACGCCGTAGAGCTGCCACCAGGCCTGCGTCGCGCTGCCGGCGATTAAGAGGCCGAATAATACCTCCTCCTGCGCGAGAAGCGCGCGGAGGAGCGCTACCCAGCTTCCGCCGCCGCCTGACGCGCCGTAATCCGCGCCGCCGGACGACGTCATTCACGAGGAAGACGTGTGGGATACAGAAAGGACGAATATTTCTTGTCTACTGATTCGAAAACAAGAACGAGAGCGCTTTGTACAGTTACTTGGCAATATACCTTATTTGGCTAGCTACATGTAGTGTACCGTACATGACTATTATATGTAGGATATTGTATAGGGCTACTATATGTAGCGTATGGTGACTAGGTATTTTACACTTGGAGCTTGACTGAGAGCCATAGGATCCACAGCAGCGAGCGACGTGACTAAGGTGCCAAGGCTAGAACTACCAGTTTGACGCGAAACATCGAGAAAAGGGGAAAAAAAACGTATACGACGTCACGGACGCAGCGTGATAGGTACCCGTTGAATGAAGCGAAACGGAACACAAGCAAGCAAACAGCAACAGAACGAGCTATGAGGAAATGGAAACGCGAATGGAATCCCAACGTTGGCAGCGGCCTTTCAGGCGCTTCCTCTGAGCAATTATACGTGTACTTTGACCTCGCTGGGGTCCGAGGGCGCATTCCCAGCATCGCGTCTGACGTCTCTACCGCATCACGTTCGTTTCAAACCGCGACACAAGACGACAACTACAAGTGAATCAACATCTGCACCGCAAAATACCGAGCAATAAGAACGTGAGATGTTTGAGACGCGAAGGAAAAATCGCTGATTGAAATGCGATGCGAATATTTCCGCTCATCCCTCAATTTCAGCTCGTCAGGGGTTTTCTCGCCCTAGATTTCGGCTCGTTTTGCGTGCTCTCAGTTATCCGCGTTTCCTGTCAAGACCACGTACCCCGCTTTTTGTTTGGTGCTCTGCGTTTCAAAGCGGTATCTTAACATGAAAAGTGGGGAAAATAAAAACAAAAGTTAATCCAGTCAACTTGAGAGGGTTCAAGACTAGCGTCTCCACCTAAATGTTTCTAAGTTGATGGCATATACACAAACTAAGAGGATTCAGCATGGTGCAAGGAAGCATGTGCATTCTTATGCGCAATGTGAAAAGGGGTCAAACACAGGGCCCTAGATATCAGACTTTAGACTCTGAATCAGAGTCAGTTCAGACTTTTTTTTTGGTACCGTACCTAGTCTGCACTCTAAGAATTTTTTTTGGGGCCTTGTCTGATGTTTCAGAGTTTTTTTAACATACTTGTCTGTAATTTCAGACTATTTTTAGTAGTGTAGGCTGTGCCTCAGACTTGTATCGGGGGTGCATTCTAAATCCGATAATACAGGGGGCAGGGTCCAGCCTGGCGGCGTGGAGCAGTAACCCCGTCAATCACGGGCGGGAACCCACGATTTCGCCAGCGCGACAACGCACAGTTGCGTTGGTACAGCGTTGCTGTAATCCCACCCAATTCTGACCAATCGCGGCTGCGCCGCAGGCAGTGTTGGCAAGATTCCTTGCCAACACATAGCTCGCCACGCACTGCACCCTCGCTGTACACCACAACCATCCACCACACCCCGCCTTCAATGTTGCCTGTCTGAACATTATAGCTTATGCTTATGCCCATAAGGGGTACAACCCAATTAGGGTTAGTACTTGTACCCAACTGTTTCATAGTTCATTCATTCTCGTTTCAGTTTTCTCATGGTATCGAGCAGGTTCCCTCGTGGGAACTGTTTCTAGGGCCCATCGATTCGATTTTTTTTTTTTCCTGCCCGGAGCGCGCTCAGCCCTTGCTCGAGTCGCGCTCCCCTTTCTCGACCCTGTCGCGCCGCCCTAGCGGCTGTATCGCGCCGCCCTAGCGGCTGTGTCGCGCCGCCCTTGCGGCCCCGATCCGCTGCCCTAGCGACCCGTCGCCTACCTCTGCGGCCCCGGCGCCGCCCTTGACAGCCCCGATCCGCCGCCCCTAGCGGCCCCGTCGCCTACCCTGCGGCCCTGGCGCCGCCCTTCCTGGCCCCGATCCGCCGCCCTGCGACCCCGTCGCCTACCCCGCGGCCCTCGCGCCGCCCTTCCCAACCCAGCCCCGCCCTTGCTGGCCCCGTCGCCTACCTGCGGCCCCGTCGCCTACCCTGCGGCCCCGGCGCCTACCCTACGGCCCCGTCGCCTACCCTGCGGTCGCCTACCCTGCGGCCCCGTTGCCTACCCTGCGGCCTCGGCGCCTACCCTGCGGCCCCGTCACCTACCCTGCGGCCCCGTCGCCTACCCTGCGGCCCCGTAGCCTACCCTGCGGCCCCGGCGCCACCCTTCCCGACCCAGCCCAGCCCTTACTGGCCCCGTCGCCTACCTGCGGCCCCGGCGCTACACTTCCCGGCCCCGTAGCCTACCTGTGCGGCCCCGGCGCCGCCTCTGCCGGCCCCGCCGCCGTCCCCACGCGGCCCCGCCGTCACCACCGAGCCGCCGGCGCCGTCGCCTGCTGCCGAGCCGCCCGCCACCCAAGCCGCCAGCCGCCGCACCGCGCCGAGTTGCCGAGTCGCCCGCTGAGCCGCCCGAGCCGCCGAGCTGCAAATGTTGTCGAGCCGCCGTACCGCCGAGCCGCCCGAGCCGCCCGAGCAGTTGAGTTGCCGAGCCGCCGAGCCGACGAGCCACCCGAGCCCCGCTGTCTGGTAAGAGCAGCGCCTCTGTCACTGCACTGCCCTTACCCTACTGTCCGAGCTGCTAGTCTACTGTTGTCATGGCTACCCCTAGTGTCCTCACTTTTGACGCTGAGGGTCGGGCCATTGACTTTGACGTCTGGGTAGATGACCTGCAGCTTTTCCTACAGTGCGATAGGGCAGACGGTCTCTCTCTCTTTGACCTCACCTCTGGTGCCTCTCCTGCCCCTGCTGCTGATGCCGACGCCACTGTTCGCTCACAGTGGGCCACACGCGATGCTGCTGCACGTATTGCTGTGCGTCGCCACCTGCCTACCTCTGAGCGTGCGCACTTTAGTCAGTACAAGAGTGCTCAGACCTTGTACGACGCTGTAGTTGCACGCTACTCCTCCCCCGCCACTGCTGCACTGAGCCGCCTCATGCTCATGCTACCGTACCTCTTCCCTGACCTTGCTGCCTTTCCGACAGTCGCTGAACTCATTACGCACCTCCGCACTAGTGACACTCGCTACCGCGCTGCACTCCCTGCTGAGTTCTGCGCTAAGAGCCCCCCCCCCCCCCCCCCCCCCTATGTACATCACCCTCTACTACATAGTCACCCGGCTCCCAAACTCCCTTCGCGTAGTCAGGGACCACTTCCTCTCTGTTTGCCCCACCACTCTCACCGTTGACCTCCTCGAGAAGGCCCTCCTAGCAGCGGAGAAGAGCATAGTAGCTGTAGGAGACTCTCTTGGTGACCCTCGCACCCCCATCTTTGAGGGGTGTTCCCCCTCCCCCCTTTTGCCCTCTGTTGCCTCTGCTGCTGCGTCCGACCTTGTTGGTCTGGAGTTGGTCGGTGCAGCGTCTACCCCTAGCGGGAAGCGCCACCCTGGCAAGGGCAAGGGGGGCAGGGGTGCTGGAGGAGCTAGCGGGGGCGGTGGAGGCGGCGGTGGAGGCGGTGGAGGGGGTGGGGGTGGCGGTGGGGGGTGGCGGCGGGGGTGGAGGTGGAGGTGGCGGCAGTGGAGGCGGAGGAGGCGGCGGCGGTGGCGGTGGGAGCGGAGGTAGCGGAGGTGGCGGCGGTGGAGGAGGCGGTGGCGGAGGAGGTGGAGCTGGTCGGGGTGGCGCTGCGCAGAGGGTCGGCTCTGGTAGTGGTCAGCCCCAGCAGCAGCAGTAGCAGCACACTCATGACATCCCCCCCCCCCGACAGCAGCTCCGTGAGTGGTACGTTGCACGCCAGCGGGGTGGGGGGGCTGGTCCGTGCACCTACGTCCTACGCACCGGCGACCGCGCGGGTGAGCAGTGCGGGGGAGCGCACTCCACCCAGCGCTGCTTTGGCCGCCTGACGGACGCTTGGCGTCACCAGTTCCCGGAGGCGACTGAGATCCCCTGTTGGGGTGAGCTGTCTAGGGCGGGAGTAGCTGTCTTTGACCTTGACTTTGATGCTATTCTTCCTGCCATGTATGCTGTGACTATTAGTGATGAGGGTGACTGTTACCGGTGTTTTCCGCCCAACCCGGGCATTGAGACTGCTGCTCTAGGTACTGGTGAGGCTGTTGCTCTAGGTGCTAGCGAGGCTGCTGCTCTAGGTGGAAGTGCGTCTGCGTCCTCAGGTGCTGGTGAGTCTGCTCTCTCAGGTACTGCGTCGGCTTCGGCCTCCCTCACCTTCACCCTTGACTCGGGGGCTTCTCGCTCCTTCTTTCGAGACCGCACCACACTCACGCCGCTTGGTCGGCCAATTGCAGTCTCTCTGGCAGACCCCTCTGGGGGTCCTGTCCTTGCTCACTTCTCCACTGTCCTCCCGTGTCCGGTGGCTCCCTCTGGCACCCTGTCTGGTCTTTACCTCCCCTCATTCTGTACGAACTTGGTGAGTGGTGCTGACCTACAGGATGGGGGAGTTCACCAGTTCACTCCTGCTAGCCAGCGGGTGACCCACTACACGGACGCTCGTACGGGCCGACACGTGGCCACGTTTACACGTCGGCCGAGGTCGAGCCTGTACACACTGACCACTGCGTCTCCTCCTGTCCCTGTGTCTGGTCAGGTAGCTGCGTCGGGTCAGGTGTTTGCTGCGGCGTCCAGGTCTGGTCCTGAGTCTGCCCCCTGCTCGTGTCGCCTCCTGTCTCACCAGACTCTCCTCTGGCACCACCGCCTTGGTCACCCCTCCCTGCTTCGTCTCAGAGGCATGGCCTCCCGTCTCCTTGTTTCTGGTCTTCCCCGGTCCCTCCCTCCCCTTCCTCCGGGGCCTGGCCCTACCTGTGTCCCCTATGTCGAGGGGCGGCAGCGGGCTGCCCCTCACTCCTCCCAGTTTCCTTCGAAAGAGGCCTCGCTGCAGATGCTTCACATGAACGTGTGTGGCCCGGCCCGCGTCTGTGGACAGGGTCACGAGCGCTACTTCCTGCTGGTGGTTGACGACTACTCGCGTTACACCGCAGTCTTCCCCTTGTGCAGCAAGGGTGATGTCACTGCGGTGTTGATCAACTGGATCCGCGC